TGGAGACCACACTGCTTTATTCAAAACGAGAACCCAACACAGGAGGGTTGGGAAAAAAGGGAATGCTTGGAAGTCCTTTTTTTTTCAAATCCTCGATCTTCGAGGGTTGGAAGCGGGCAAACGTGAGAAGGCGAACAACATGAGAAAAACACTTGGAAATCAACGATTTTACCCTCTTTGGGCTCTCTCGGGACGGCTCTCCTCGTCGGGGTCTTGTTGGGGCCTCTCAGGGATCGGGGGTGTGTTGGGGGCCTCTGGGTTGTCCCGGAGGCCTCTCGGAAGTCTCCGGAAGCATCCTGCTCCCGCTCTTGGGCCCATCTTGGGCCTGTTCTGGGGTGGTCTGGGGCTGTCCTGGGCGCCTCTTCGGCAATCTTGGAGCCTTCTTGGCCCGTCTTGGGGTCGTCCTGAGGGTCTCTTGGGTGGTCTTGGGGCGGTCTTGGGAACCTCTTCGGCGCTCTTGGACCGTTGGAAGCTCGAAAACGCGAGAAGCCAAAAACATGAAACAAAATATGGGAATCTATTATTTTGGCCTCTTCGGGCCGTCCCAGTACGCCTCTCGGACCTCTCTTGGGATCTCTTGGATGTCACCTGGGAGCCTCGAGAGCCGTCGGAAGGCTGACGTGGGCTGGTTGGGAGCGTCTTGGACCATCCTTTCGCATTATGGGGGCTCCTTGGAGTCGTCTTGGGCCCTCCTGGAGCGCTGTGGAGGCTCCACGGAACGCCTGGGGGAGCGGTACTGGGAGCGTTCCCCAAATGTCACGGAGAGGTGTGGCACCTGGAGCCGGGGGGGGGGGGCGGTATGTATTTATATAATAGTGTATTTCATTATATTATATTCTTATATGCATCCATCCATCCATCCATCCATCCATCCACCCATCCATTCCATTCCATTCCATTCCATTCCACTCCGCTACATGCAATCTATTACACTATAGTGCGATACATTGAATAACATTACACTATATTGCAATACCTTACATTGCATTGGATTACATTAGATTACATTCCATTCCATTACATCACAGTAGATTTATATCTACATTACATTTACATTACAATACAATACATTACATAACATTCCATTCCATTACATTGCATACATACGTACATTACATTATATTTCATGACCAGACATTACGTTACATTGCATTGCATTACAGTGCAGTACATTACATACATACATGCATCCATACATCCATACATACATCCATCCATACATACATACATACATACATACACACATGCGCACGTCATGCGCATATGCGTATATAGAAGTATGAATATATGTATATATGTATTGTCGTGTATACATACTCATACATACACATATGTGTACTCATACATCTGCAGGACTGCGCGAGCATTTCGCGGCATGCGCTTTGGCTATCGAAGTTCGGCATGCAGGCGGAAGGACAGAACGGTAAAACAAAACACGTAGCGATACTCACGTATTGCCTTGTTTCCAGCACCATCGTCATAGTAAACGTATCCATTTTCATTCCCGCAAGATTCGTCTTCCTCTTGCGCCATTCTCGCCTTACCCTGCGAATTATCCGCTATCCTCCTCAGCTCTTGTTGCGGAGGCTCCTCCTTGGAAAGCCACTTGGGGGCCTCACAAAGATGTTTCGAGTCTTCTCGGGGCCTCCTGGAAACATCCTGTGTTCCTTCTGGGGGCCTCTTGGGGCTTCCTTAGGCCACCCTGCTTCCACTCGCGGTCTACCTGAACGACCGGGTCACGATTGGGACTGCTTCGGGGGACGTCTTGGGGCCTTCTTGGGCCGTAGTGGGGCCCTCTTCGGGCCATCTTGGCGACCTGTTGGGCCGCGTTGGGGCTCTCTTGGACTGCCAGGAGGCCCTTTTGAATTGTTGTTGGGCGATTATGTTACCTTCTGGGCGGTCTCGGACGGCCAGAAGGCCTAAGAACAGGGCATTCGTCGTCGTCGTCGTCGTCGTCGTCGTCGTCGTCGTCGCCGTCGTCATCGTCGTCGTCGTCGTCGTCGTCGTGTCTCTCTCTCTCTCTCTCGTTCTCCCTCTTTCTTTCTTTCTTTCTTTTTTTTTTCTCTCTCTCTCTCTCTCTCTCTCTCTCTCCCTCTCTCTCCTTTTCTGCCTCCGAACAACCCAGGAAGGCGCCCGCAGGTACACAATTTTACTTCGCGGTAGGCTGATCCAACTCCGCGAGGGCGCTAGTGTTGCGCTGAGCTGCTTGCCGCCCCGAGCGTATGCCGATGGGGGGCAACCGAAAGAGGGATACGCGTGCAGAACAAAGGGCATGCACGACTGACGGGTACATGCCGACAGCTCGAATCCGAAGGCACACATGCACAAAGGAGCCGTACACGGCGCACTGGCAGAGCATTGAAACAGCCAAATGCGTGCGTGAAGGAATGAGGAATAGACGCACGGACTCACTACGGGAGACGTTTGACGATGTCCTAGGGGATCAAGCGACTCCTGAAGGGTGCCGTGGGACTTCATCGCGCGCATTTAGCGGGGGACTCCAGACCCCAGTGCCCACCATTCGCGGCGCGGCAACTCTGCCGATGCGTCGCAGCCTTCCCTCTCGAGGCTCCCGACCGCACGTGCCCGTCCATCGGGAGCGAGCGAGGGAGATTGTTGTTGGATTGCGACTCGGAAGAAGCTCTAAGCTTGCCAGAAGAGTGAGCGAGGGGGAGGGAGTGAGAAGGAGAAGGCCTTCTCATAAGGCGGTGGGGCTTCTCGGCAGCCCTCCGGCCTTCCGAGAAGTCTTCTGTGCCTTCGGGGAATGCTCAGGAAACTTCTCAGGAGGCCAGAGGACTTCCGCCGGGGGCGCGCAAGCATGGATTAGCGATCCGTGGAGTTGACGCGCGGTTGCCAACCCCATGGATCGGAGGAGGTGCCCTCCCCAAAATGCGGCCAGCGCCGCCTCGCTCGGCGGCAGAAAATCAGCGATTCCCCATGGAAACGGGACCCGTCGCTAATCCACGCCCCCTTGATCCATGTCTGCGATTTTGGGTGACCCAAAAGGGGGGCCAGTTGCAAAGGGGTGGTGCAATAGATTCGGGGCAGTGGTATTGCACATGTATCGCGCCGGAGAATTATATTGCATTGTATTGCAACCAGTGTGTAGCACGCGAAAATCCAGCAACACATTTGCGCCCCCGAATGTATTGCACGATTGCAACCCCACAGACCTATTGCACCAAATCTATTGCACCACCCCCTTGTCGCTGGACCCCCTTCTGGGTCAACCCGAGCGATCGCCTGAACTTCTGAGCCTCTCGCTCCACCATAGGGCCACGAGACGTGCGATGAGGGTGTGCCCGGACGTGCAAAGGGCAGAGGCACGGATGGGATGAGGGAGGAGGAGGGAGGAGGAGGGAGGAGGAGGGAGGAGGGAGGGAGGGAAGGAGGGAGGGAGGGAGGGAGGGAGGGGAGGGGAGGAGGAGGCGGAGGAGGAGGAGGAGGAGGGGAGGAGGAGGGAGGGAGGGAGGAGGAGGGAGGAGGGAGGGAGGATCGCCCGACCTTCCGAGCCTGCTGAGCAGGTCCGCCCCCCCTCGCGCCCCCCCCCCCTAGGGCGAGCCGCCGAGCCCCCTTGACGCGCCGCGCGGCGACGCGGCTGCCCCCCCCCCGCGAGGCGAGCGGGGCCCCCGCCCGCCGCGGAGAGCGAGAGGCCGCCGATGTGCGCCGGCGCTTGGCGACCCCCCCGCGCGAGGCGCTGCGCCTGCCGCCGGGGGCGAGGCCTTTTGCTCGGGGCTCGGGCTTCTGCTCGGGGCTCGGACTCTTTCGGAGGGAGCGGAGGAGAACCCACCTGAGGGGCCACATTCGAACCCACCCACCTGGTAATTAGGGGGCCACAGGCGAGCCCTGCTCCTGCCCCCCACGATTTCCGAGGGGGAGGGCGGGGTTCACTTCGTCTGGGAGCTCCCGAGCGAAGTGAACCCCACCCTTCCCCTCAGAAGTCGTGGGGGGTAGGGGTAGGGTTCGCATGTGGCCCCTTAGGCACTCGGACTTTCGGAAGAATCGGAGGAACACCCACCCGCACATGGGTTCTTGTGCGGGAGCTTCGCCCACGAGCTCGGCGGTGGACAATCCTCCCTTTAGTGAACCACCCTTCAGTGACATTGACCTGGGGCCGAAACCGACGGACCTGGACCCGCAAAACTGACGGTCGCCACGCCCTCTCGCGAACCGAAAACGGTCAATTCTTCGCTAATCGACGTGTCAGGGTAGGAGGTCTAGCGATGCACCAGCGATGCATCGGCGACGTCGGCGACGCATCCGCGACGTCGGCGTGGGGACATCGGGCTGCACATCGGGCCGCATCGTCGATGCGTCGGCGATGCGGCGCGATCCTCCGAACCCATTTACCCGGACCCAATCCAAGAGGCCTACACCAACCGACCCGTCGCGGGGCAAGACCCTGGTGGATTCGATGCACGGCGCGTCCCTGTTTGAGGGGGGCCGCGAGGAAGGAGGCCTCCCCTCGGGCGCAGGCGAGGCAGGCGCTGTGGGTGCTGGGACCTGGGCAGCGCAAGCGCCCACCCTCGCGTCCCACCCCCCAGAGTCTGGATGAGGGGACGGGGTGCGTGCGCTTGCGGATCCCCTCCTCCTTCTCGACCTTCTTTGCCTCCTCCTCCTCCTCCTCCTCCCCCTCCTCGTCCTCATCCGCCGTCTCTTTTCACCGCCCTCGTCCCCATCCGTATCCTCCTCCCCCTCCCCTCACCATTCCCCTCTTCCCTCCTCCCCCTTGAGGAGGGACAGGTCGTCCTTGTGTAATTACCCTTAGAACTACCACATGGTCTGAAATGAGAACAAACCGATGCCCCAAACGCAGGAGGCTTTCTGGGGTTGGCTCATTAGCCAATCAGAACGCTTGACCCACTCCCTCCTCCTCTTCCTCCTCCTCCTTCTCCTCCTCCTCCTGCTCCTCCTCCTCCTCCTCCTCCCTCCTCCCTCCTCCCTCCTCCCTCCTCCCTCCTCCTGAACCTCTCGCTCTCGGACTTACCCGCGCGCCGGGCCTCGTCATTGTGCCCGGCGGACAGCCGCAAGGAGCTGGCCAGCATGTCGGCGACCGGGGCTCCCGGGTGCACCTGCAGGCACGGGCCACAGCGGAAAAGTACTTCTCGGCTGAGGGGGGCGAGAGGGAGAGGTGGGAGCGGGAGGAGGCAAGGGTATCTTGCGGGCGCGGAGGCGAGGAGGAAAGAGGAGGGGGAGCGGGAGGAGAGGAGGGAGAACAGGAGGGCAAGCAAGCGAGGAGGAGGCAGAGGACGAGAAGGCGGCGGCCGCGGTGGGGGACCGAAGAGGACGAGGAAGAGGGGCCGATTGCCTCGCCTGACGCTGACAGACCCCCCTCCCCCTGGGGCCCCCAAAACGCGCATGGTGGGTCCTCCTCCTCCTCTTCTTCTCCCTCCTCTTTCTACTCATCGCCCCGCTCATTACTTTTCTTGTTATTTCTCGCCGTTCCTGCTCCAGTTTTTTGTTCCCAACCATCCTGTGGTGTTGGGTCCTCGTTTCGAAGAGACAGCGCCCCGCGTCCCACCTCCTCTCCTCCTCCTCCCCCTCCTCGCCCTCCTCCCTCCTCCCCCTCCTTGCCTCTGCTCTCGGCACACCCCTCACACGTTTCGTAGCCCCATAGGGAGCTCCACCGAGGGTCCCAGTGGCACAGCCCGCATGCGGTTCCCCCACCCAGGGCAGCGTTTCGTAGCCCCATAGGGAGCTCCACCGAAGGTCCCAGTGGCACAGCCCGCATGCGGTTCCCCCACCCAGGGCAGCTCTTCGTAGCCCCATAGGGAGCTCCACCGAAGGTCCCAGTGGCACAGCCCGCATGCGGTTCCCCCACCCAGGGCTGCGTTTCGTAGCCCCATAGGGAGCTCCACCGAAGGTCCCAGTGGCACAGCCCGCATGCGGTTCCCCCACCCAGGGCAGCGTTTCGTAGCCCCATAGGGAGCTCCACCGAAGGTCCCAGTGGCACAGCCCGCATGCGGTTCCCCCACGCAGGGCAGCGCTTCGTAGCCCCATAGGGAGCTCCGCCGAAGGTCCCAGTGGCACAGCCCGCATGCGGTTCCCCCGCCCAGGGCAGCGTTTCGTAGCCCCATAGGGAGCTCCACCGAAGGCCCCAGTGGCGCAGCCCGCATGCGGTTATTCCCGCAGGGCAGCGCTTCGTAGCCCCATAGGGAGCTCCACCGAAGGTCCCAGTGGCACAGCCCGCGTGCGGTTCCCCCGCCCAGGGCAGCGTTTCCACCATAGGGAGCTCCCCCGAAAGGCCACAGTGGCACAGCCAGCATGCGGTTTCCCCACGCAGGGCAGCATAGGGATTCCACCGGAGGTCCCAGTGGCACAGCCCGCATCCCATAGGGAGCTCCACCGAAGGTCCCAGTGGCACAGCCCGCATGCGGTTCCCCCGCCCAGGGCAACGTTTCGTCGCCTATAGGGAGCTCCGCCGGAGGTCACAGTGGCACAGCCCGCATGCGGTTCCCCCACCCAGGGCAGCGTTTCGGAGCCCCATAGGGAGCTCCACCGAAGGTATCAGTGCCACAGCCCGCATGCGGTTCCCCCACCCAGGGGAGCGTTTCGTGGCCCCCTAGTGAGCTCCACCGCAGGTCTCAGTGGCACAGCCCGCATGCGGTTCCCCCACCCAGGGCAGCTCTTCGTAGCCCCATAGGGAGCTCCACCGAAGGTCCCAGTGGCACAGCCCGCATGCGGTTCCCCCACCCAGGGCTGCGTTTCGTTGCCCCATAGGGATTCCACCGAAGGTCCCAGTGGCACAGCCCGCATGCGGTTCCCCCACCCAGGGCAACGTTTCGTAGCCCCATACGGAGCGTTTCGTAGCCCCGTTGGGAGCTCCACCGAAGGTCACAGTGGCACAGCCCGCGTGCGGTTCCCCCACCCAGGGCAGCGTTTCGTCGCCTATAGGGAGCTCCGCCGGAGGTCCCAGTGGCACAGCCCGCATGCGGTTCCCCCACCCAGGGCACCGCTTCGTAGCCCCATAGGGAGCTCCAGTGCAGGTCCCAGTGGCGCAGCCCGCATGCGGTTCCCTCTGCCCAGGGCAGCGTTTCGTAGCCCCATAGTCAGCTCCACCGAAGGTCCCAGTGGCGCAGCCCGCATGTGGCTCCCCCTGCCCAGGGCTGCGTTTCGTGGCCCCATCGGGAGTTCCACCGAAGGCCCCCGTGGCGCAGTTCGCATGCGTTCCCCCCCCCCCAAGGCAGCGTTTCGTGGCCCCATAGGTAGCTCACACGAAGGTCCCAGTGGCGCAGTTCGCATGCGGCTCCCCACGCCCAGTACAGCGCTTCGTGGCCCCATAGGGATCCCACCAAAGGTCCCAGTGGCGCAGTTCGCACGCGTCCCCCCCATCGTGGCCCCATAGGGAGCTCCACCGAAGGTCCCAGTGGCGCAGTTCGCACGCGTCCCTCCCGCACAGTACAGCGTTTCGTAGCCCCATACGGGGCTCCCTCGAAAGCGATACCGAAAGCTGCATATGGTTGGGTCCTTCGCCTGTGTAATCCCAACCATCCTGTGGTGTTGGGTCCTCGTTTCGAAGAGACAGCGCCCCGCGTCCCACCTCCTCTCCTCCTCCTCCTCCCCCTCCTCGCCCTCCTCCCTCCTCCCCCTCCTTGCCTCTGCTCTCGGCACACCCCTCACACGTTTCGTAGCCCCATAGGGAGCTCCACCGAAGGTCCCAGTGGCACAGCCCGCATGCGGTTCCCCCACCCAGGGCAGCGTTTCGTAGCCCCATAGTGGGCGAGCAACGACATATGTACATGTACGCCCTCCGCGGTCTTGCCTGCACGAACGTCCGCGTTGACACGCACTCCAGGGGAAACTAACCGCGTACGTGTACATATGTTGCTGGCCTCTGACATAGGGAGCTCCACCGAAGGTCCCAGTGGCACAGCCCGCATGCGGTTTCCCCACCCAGGGCAGCGTTTCGTAGCCCCGTTGGGAGCTCCACCGAAGGTCACAGTGACACAGCCCGCATGCGGTTCCCCCACCCAGGGCAGCGCTTCGTAGCCCCATAGGGAGCTCCACCGAAGGTCCCACTGGCACAGCCCGCATGCGGTTCCCTCTGCCCAGGGCAGCGCTTCGTAGCCCCATAGGGAGCTCCACCGAAGGTCCCAGTGGCACAGCCCGCATGCGGTTCCCCCACCCAGGGCAGCGCTTCGTGGCCCCATAGGGAGCTCCACCGAAGGTCACAGTGGCACAGCCCGCATGCGGTTCCCCCACCCAGGGCAGCGTTTCGTAGCCCCATAGGGAGCTCCACCGAAGGTACCAGTGGCACAGCCCGCATGCGGTTCCCCCACCCAGGGCAGCGCTTCGTGGCCCCATAGGAAGCTCCACCGAAGGCCCCAGAGAGGGCTCCACCGAAGGCCCCACCCAGGAACGTTTTGTGGTCCCACAGGGAGCTCCATCGAAGGCCCCAGGCGCTGCGCCCGCATGCGGGGCGCCTGCGGGGCCCGCAGCTTCATGTTCGAAACCGAACGAATATTGCGCAAACCGGGGATCTCATGGCGTTCTTGCGCAAACCGGGAAGCAAGTCCCTCCGGCCATCCGGGCCACGTGGAACGCCATGCAGCTGCAACCCGATGACCGCCGGCTCCGGGAGGAAAGGTTCCAGAACGGCCACATGATTGGGTCGTATTGGGACACCGTGGCGCGATGGATGAACATGCGTGCCCAGCGGGACGCGGACGTCCTGAAGAAGCCCCTCTTCCTCGTGCAGGCCGCCGACAGGTCTGCCCCGACGATGAGCAAGAAGGACGCCGCCAAAATGATGAACTGTGCCAACCCGAATAACACCGGTGGCATGCACGGACTGCTCCCGGTGCACGTGGGCATGCGGATCCGGCTCCTGGAGGCGCTCGATCTCAAGAACGGCCTCGTCAAGGACGCCGAGGGGCAGATCGTGCACATCGTCGTGAACCGTCGGGATCGGGGCGACGTCGAGAGGGCCGAGAGGGACGGAGAGAAGAGGATATATCTGAAGCGCTTGCCCCAGGGGTTCTGGGTGCGCATAGAGAAGCACGCGGGCGCGCCCTTCGTGGACGACCTGAAGCGCCGCGACGACAGCCTCACGGGGGACCTCACGGGCCCGCTGGTGTTCATCGAGCCCCGTGCGTCGGAGCCGTTCACCTCCCGCACTTCCAAGGTCACCCGGACGGGCTTCCCGTTTTCACGCGGCAGGGTCATCACCGCGGTGGCGTGCCAGGGGCGCACTACGCGGGAAGGCGACGGGGCGGGGGAACGGCGCCGCCGGGCAGTCTACGGCCGAACCCTTCAGACGCGAGCGGTCCGCAGCTGGACCTTCTCTGGGTCACGTGGACTCTCGCCCTGGGCCGTCAGCTGTCTGGCGCGCTGCTCCCCCGGCAGACGCCGCCCAGGCGTGATCCTGGACTGCTGCCGCCACGAGGTCGGGAACGGCAAGAAGGAGGACGACGACTGGTGGCTGGAGCTCCACGCGCTGCTCTCGCGCGCCACGCGCCACGAGGATCTCCTGCTCATGCGGGGCGCCGCTCATCGAGTTCTTCCTAGCGGGGCCGCCGGCGGGCTTGCGGAAGCAGCTGGAGCAGCTTGCTGCGCGCGCGAAGCGGTGCAGGAGGGAGGCGACGGCCCTCGCCAGGGAGTTCGGCTTCAGCGAGTTCATCCGCGAGGCCTGACCTGGGAAGCGGCCCCGCGCGAGCCAGCGGCGCGCGCTGGTTGTCGCTTACGCTTGGATGACCCCAGCTCGTCGTCGGGATTTCTCGCCAGAGGATGACCGGCGCCTGTCGGGGGATTTCACCCAGATCGCGCCGTTTTCGCATAGCCTCGCCGCGCAGCACGGGGGAGCTACCCGTTTACATTGAGTCGCAGTGGACGACCCCCGCGCGTCGATGGGATTCCCTCGGGATGACCAGACCGCGTCGGTGGGGACTCCCCAGCCACTTTCGAGCGGCGCCGCCTGCGCAGTGCACTCTGCGTGGCTCGCTATCGGCCCGGAGGCAAACATGTCACCCCTCGTCTCTCGCTCCTCTTGCTTCCTTTTGCTTCTTGACCGCGGGCCCCCCGGTCTCGTCTCTGCCGCTGCTGGCCTGCCCCTGACATTTGCGCGGCTTCTCCG